TTCATTCATCGATCTAAACACCGTAGTAAGTTTTTTTTTCCAGCTGCATAAAATTTAATTGAGACACATAAGATGAATAATGTTAACAAGTTTTAGTGTGTGAAAATTTATTATAGTTGGCAAATACACACTTTTTAAATAATTTTAAAAAGATTTATAAAGGCAAGCAATGAAATAGATTAGCGTAATTAGGGCACCTGATGATGGCACTATGCTGCCGAAACATGTCGTGAAGTAACAGATGAAATTGAGTGCACTACAAGACGGCCACTGTATACATATCATGGATGAAAATCAGTGCAACAGGATGCTAAAATACATTACAAATAAGTTCAATATAAGTAACATATTTTAAGGCCACGCGATAGCTCAAGCAGTTAGTCGCTGGCTTCCTACCGCGTTGGCCCGGATTCAATCCCGGGTCTGGTCAAGTGGGATTTGTGGTGGCCAAAGTGGCGGTGGGGTAGGTTTTCTCCGAGTACTTCGGTTTCCCCTGCCAATCTTCATTCCACCAAATTCTCCATCATCATAATCACCTGGGGCAGGCTACAATAGGCCAATCAGTGGCCGCCGTGCCGAGTGGACACAGTTGGACTCCACCCCCCACTAAGCAAAATAAAAGAAAAACATATTTTAATAATTTAATGTTACACACATATTATTGCCTCTAATGATGATGAATATTAAGAGTACTGTATTCTTGGATGTGAAACTGTGCAGTTTTGTAGACACGCACCAACATTTTGGAAGAAACTGTTGCCTCCATCTTCAGAATAGAGGAGACTCACACCTCTTCCACCTTTGAAACACTGATACCCACCTATCAAACTACAAAATGTCACATCCCAGAAGACTGTAATCTTAATATCATACACATTTTTAAGATCTTATGCTGAATACTGCTAGTGTTGCTTGTCCTCAAAGTTCTGCATGTCCACCATTGTTAGAATATTATAAGTATGGATTATAAAAATATGACTGGGGTGACATTCCCTGGATTAGTCTTAACAGTTTTGTCAAAATAGACTTTGTTTATGCTGTAACTGGAAATCTATATTTTATATTGACATGTAATACTGCAGAGAATTGTGGACTTGCTCTTACCTATTGTGCCAAATATCCTCAAATAGACTGACAGCCTCACGTAATCTGTTCACGCCCGTCTCTTCTCTGAGAGTTAGATCATAGTCACTTGATGCAACTAGGAAGAGGATGGCATTGATACCCTCAAACAACTGAAACACAGATCCGAAAGACATTCTATAAAATGACATTTTCAGTGAGGGACATTACTGTACTGTCACCCCTAAAGTCAAAATTAGTTTCCATTTTTATCTTTACAATACACAACTAACATATATCATGTATATATCATTTTAAGCTTAATCACTAATCATTTTATTTGCTGATAAGTACAGTCTACTGGGTTGTAATGATGAACAGTTTAGAAAAGCCTGATGTTTCAGAGGACCATATCACCTCCATCTTTATGGTCAGGGGGTAAGTTAAGCAAAATACCAGTAAGAAGCAGACAGCAAACAGAGATGTGCTTGCTGCCAGATTTTTGCACGTTTCTTGGTTGACTTTATTCTTGGATGGCAGCAATACATTTGTCTGAAATGTCAGTTTTTTTCTGAAAGACATTACGTTACAACCAAAATGATTTTACTCTTCACAGTAATCACTGTGATAATCTCAATTTTATTTGCATTTTATAATTCGCTTAGTGGGGGCTGGAGTCCAACTGGGTCCACTCGGCACGGCGGACACTGATTGGCCTATTGTAACCTGCCGCAGGTGATTATGATGATGGAGAATTTGGTGGAATGAAGATTGGCAGGGGAAACCAAAGTACTTGGAGAAAATCCACCTCAGAGCCACTTTGTCCACCACAAATCCCACTTGACCATACCCGGGATCGAACCTGGGCCGCCGTGGTGGGAAGCCAGCGATTAACCGCTTGAGCTATGGCATGNGCATGGCCTTTGCATTTTATAAATTTGTACTGATTGACTGACAAGTAATTTAACTACAATGACGCAAGTACAGCAATGTGAATAAGTTGTAATTACATGGTTGAAATACTGAACTTCTTATGATACTAGCAGATTCATTAACTCCTCACTAAGAATGCTCAGAGTGCTGTTGTCTTGTAGCAGTATATGTATGGGCTGTAACAAATACTACTTAGTTCATGAAACCTATAATTTTATGGGGCATCATTTTAAACAGTTTCATGTAATTCATAATTTCACAGTCACAATTACATCGACCGTGCCATAGGCCAAGAAGTTAGTTGCCAGCTTGTTTTGATCCAAGGTCAGGTTATCTGGGATTTGTGGTGGACAGGGTGGCATTAGGGTGGGTTTTCTCTCAACACGTCAGTTCTCCTTGCCAGTTTTTACTCCACCAACTGCTACATATTCATTACTCGTCCTATAATCATTGTTATATAGGCCTGTTACTGATTGCATCATTAAGTAAAATAAAAGTAAAAAGTAAAGCTATCCCTGTAACAGGCCGTGGAGGCCCATATGGTTGTGAGACATTGAGGGTCCCAAATTATCTAGACAATCGGCTCATAGATGGCGGTAAGGTTGTCAGCCTTACGTGCCAGTCGCGCTTTACTCCCCAGGAAAATTATTTAATTAATTCCAGGTACTCATTTCTGTTAGAGGCTGAGTCGACTCCAGGGCCATAGTGCAGCTGGAAGGATTAGGCTAACTGAAAAAAATCCAATGACCTCCTTGGGACTTGAACCCACAACCTACCAACTTGCAGCATAGCCCCTCAACCAACTACACTACATTAAGTATCCACCTTAAAAGGAAACTAATTATATCAGTACGTATTGAATATGTCAAAAAGTGGAAAGAGCTCTTGAACCATGTCTTCAGCTCCACAACTCCCCACCAGTTGTCATACAGAATGTTTTCTGAGAGTAGTTCTTAACACTTTGTGGACCGGCAATTTAAATATTTAAATCACCCTGCGGACCAGCATTTTTATACCTACTACCCTAACTTGTGCACTGTTCACTTTAAAAATTAATACAAAATCTCCTAATTAATTTTATGAACTAAAATTTTTTTAGAACACTTACCAATGCTTCTAGAAGTGCTTGAGGGTGTGATATTTCTCGAAACATTCCCTTCTGTGAAGTGGCATTACATAAAACTTGCAAATGTAGGCAGTCCTACTCCTTTTCTTGTGAACTGTGCAAACACGGCATTGCCTAGAAGGGTTCTTCCCCTTGAAATGTTCACTCTTCACAATTTTTGCGAGGGTATGTTTCCGCATATCACCCGAGAGTCGCCCAGGGGGGTCAAAATGAGG